GAGTGGGGAGCAAAACAGGCAAACTGAGTGAAATACACTGCTGAGGGGAGCGGCGGGCGAGACAGGAGAGGTCTGCTGCACCATGTGGGTAGCTCCCTGGCCGGGGATCAAACTCGTGCTGCAGTGGCTGCAGATAGCCTCATAGGTTACATCTCAACCCCCTGCGCCACCAGGGAGGCCTCATGGTTCTACTTTGGATGTTACTTAGATGTGAGGTAACGTAGAAGAAACTGACTAGGATAGGACTTTGGCCCTGGTGTTACCCCTGACCGAGGCAAGGCATGTGTATCTGACAAGGATTCTCTGAGGAGTGTCTGAACTGCCCCAGATAATGGCTGAAGGCCCTGAGATTCTGCAGATCCTATAGGATTCTCTAGAATTTCTGTCCTAGATGAGCTGGTCCCAGTCTCCTCCAGCCTCAGCATCAACAAATGCATGCTTTTAAGTAGATAATCTTCCCTTCTCTGAGTGTCCTATCTCCCTACCCTAACTTAGGACTAATGTTCTGGGGCTGCCCTCCACTTAAAAGCTACAGGATCGCAGGAAAGTAAAGAAAAAGTTCTTTCTCTACAGTCACATAGAACAGAGAATGCTGCAAATATGGATCTCATTCACTGCCCCATCAGCCCAGCCATTCTTCCTTTCACCACCCACCCACCCATCTACCCACCTGTTTAACAGATATTCAGTAGATGCTTTTAGTGTATCTGTCTTGTTCACTACTGAATGCCCAGTGCCCAGCACAAGCTCTGCATGTCACAGCTGCTCATTAACTATGTGCTGGTTGAAAGAACGTGCGTGCTCACTCTTCCAGCTGCTGGATCCGTTTCGGGAGCCATGGCCTCGGGGGGCTTACAGCTTCAGTGGGAAGATAATACACCTGAACTAAAGCTTACATAATGCACGAGGTAGCATGTAAGATAGCATCACGAGATAGTGATTGGACAGGTGATCTGCAAAACGGACAATAAAAGCTTTGGAAGTTAAGAGAAAGAGAAGTTTAGATCAGAGAAGGCTGGAGCAGTTCCAGGTAGCTTCCCAGCAGTGGCACCCGAACTCATTGACAGGGGAGATTGGAAGGCATTTGAGGAGAGAAAGGTAAGAGGGCTGAGGTAGACACAGCAAACAGCCTGGGCCCACCCAGCTGGGGCGGGGAGGATGTCACAGTCAGGTGAGCAAATCTGGAATCCAGACAGGCCGCTTTGGACCCACTAGGGACAGCAAATTAGTCCACAGCTACCCCCCCCACGTGAGTGGTAAGGTGGCTACTGTGGGACTCAAGGGGAGACCCTAGAAGCATATCTGCTTGTCCATGGCCTGCATTCCTGCTCACCTCCAATTGTTGGGTTCCTGAGCTGGATCTGGGAAAAAGTTGAAGTAGATGAAATTTGTCCTCATGCTTATCTTTTGAAGTACACGTCCCTCTCCGGAGGGAAGCTTAGGACTGCTCGTGTTATTATAGTAGCCCACCCCTTCCAGTCTGCTCTAACCTCACAGCCTCCTCCCCTGTCCCACCTTCTTCCCGACACTTAGCAGTTTATGGCGCTCTACTAGGCGCTAAAGCAAATGCAGAAGAAAGGGCAGATGGCACTGGAGAACACTGCTGCAGTCACAAACCTATGCCTTTGTGCCAGGGGTGCTACTATAATAACACGAGCAGTCCTAAGCTTCCCTCCGGAGAACTGTAGCGCCGGTTCGATCCCTGGCCGCCAGCGCCAGAGGGTCCCACATGGCATGCAGACCTCTCTGCTGTGCCCGCTGCTCCCTCAGCAGTTACTTCGTCAGTCTGCCTGTTCTGTTCCCCGCTCTGGCTCTGGTGAATCCTCTCACCCTCCCGCGCTTCTGACTGTACTCAGTGCTTGTATAAATAAATAAATAAATCTTTTTTAAAAAAATGAGAATTGCTTGTTCAAAAATCATAGTGGAGGGCCTGTGTGAGATGTGGTGACGAGGAATAAGGACCTGACTGCGGGTGCTTTGTCTTTCTTCACACGTCTAACTGCGCTTGAGCTTCCTCTTTCCCTCTGAATGTCTAATGCTTACCCACCCTCCAAAGTTCAACTTGAATCCTACTCCTCATAAAGCTTTTCGGTGGGTCCTAGGGTATCCGGCTCTCGGTACCCCCAGAGCAGTGCGGTCGAATAGAACTTCCGGGATGTTGGCAACGGTCCTATCTATGCCGTCCAGTTGGGTCACCACTAGCTATGGACGGTATTGAGCGCTTGGTCTGTGGCTCATGTAACCAAAAAACTGAATTTGAAATGAACTTGAATTTAAATAACCACATGTGGCTGGTCGTTCTCATCTCGCCAGCACAGCCCCACAGCGTCTGTTGCCTGTACCAGTTATCAAATACTGATCCTCAAGCTTCCACGTATTGGTACTGACTATTTGTGACATACTTGATTAGGCTCTTCACACAAATTGTCTCATTAAATGCTCACAGCCACTCCTGAGGTTTTCTTACCTCTATTGTAAAGAGAAGAAAAATGAGAGAATCAGAAAAGCCTGCCCAGAGGTGGCAGAGCTGGATCTGAATGTGGAACTGACTGGTTCCAGAGCTCCCGCTCTTTCTGTGACAGCACGTTTCATGCTATGTCATTGGTTGAACAAACCCATTTTCCATGTAGCCTCTCACTAGTCCCTAGAGGTCTCTTGTGCCCAGACAAGTCTTCTGTGCCCTCTAGGAGGGCAATCTCCATTCTCTGACTCTAAGAGGACTTCCCAGGGTGGACCACCAGGCAAACACCAATACTGCAGAGCTGAGTGAGATGGAGAACTAGAGAATGACAGCAGGTAGAGTCCCTGGCAGGGGGACTGCTGCAGGAGTCCAGCAGAGTTGGAGGGCCCGCATGCAGGGCTGATTTGAGGCAGTGTTTGGGGCAGTCGTCCACATTGCAGTTCTCTTCTCAGCCCCTCGAAGCCTCAGTCCTGCCCCAAAGCACTTGTTGAAATATGACAGCAGAGGGCCTCCCAGGTGGCGCAGCGGTTGAGCGCTGGGTTGCGAAACTGCGCGCGGCCTCTGCGGCGCCGTTCGATCCCCGCTGCTCCCCGGCCGGAGGAGGGTCCCACATGGCGCGAGACCTCTCCTGCCGCCCGCTGCTCCCCTCAGCAGTGTACTTCGGTCCTTCTGCCTGCTCTGCTCCTGCTCTGGCTCTGGTGAATTCTCTCACCCTCCCGCACTTCTGACTGTACCCAGTGCATGTATAAAAACAAACAAACCAGCAAACAAATAAAAAAGCATGCCTCTATAAAAAAAAAAAAAAAAAAAAAGAAATATGACAGCAGAGTACGGATAACTATCTCAAGTTAGGAATCATGGGTGTCTAGAAATTGGAGCAATTGCTGGTTCACTCATTCATTTAGTGGAAAAACATATCTAGCACCATAATGAGGATTTAGAATCATCAGGTTGACGATAAGGCTGAAGTTCTACATTTTAACAAAAGCTTGCCTGGAGAGCTGCAGAAAAATACTGATGTCTGGCCCCCAGCCCAGACTAGTTGACCAGAATTGGGGGTGGCATCAGGACATCTCCTCGGGGAGCTGACTCTGCTGGACAGCCAGATTGAGGACCCCTCACCTTATCTATCGTGCTTCAGGCCACTCACCACTTGAGTTGTTGTCTCTCCATTTAGCTGGATGAGTCTCCAAGACCCTCAGGATATTACCTTTCACAAACATACTTATAATGCATTTTCAACAGAATGAAACATTTTTCCTATCTCAGTCCAATTTTATAGGTACCATAATACCGCTCCAGAAATTGGGGTCTTTTTGCTCAAAGACAATGAATCTCTTTCTTATATCCTTTTTAACCATCCTCTTTTTTGCTGGATCTCGGGTGACTGCTTCCTTTAGCATAGCTCTGTGAGTAAGCATCTGGTGTTAGAGCCAGGCCAGGAGACAGAGCAGCACTGGGAGGAGATGAAAGCGCTCAGGGTGGCGGGATAGGTGGACTGCGTGGGTCAGCTGGAGAGCTGCAAGGTCCGCAATTCTCAAGCTTCAGATTGCTGGTGCCAGCCAGCCAGCTCCTGGTCCCTCTGCTGCTGACAGCACAGGGGCCAAGGAAAATCTTCCAGGATGGAACTTCTTTCCTCTAAAGCCTCTCGGCACCATGGCAGGCAAGAGGGAGCAGGCCTAGTCTCAAGAAGAACAAGGCACATGAGGATTCCTCAGATGTCCTGTCTTCCTTTCTCCCTCTTTTAATTGCCAGTGGCCGCTGGACCCTGCCACTTTCCAAGAAGCCACTGTTCCCTTGAGTTTCCATTTCTCCTTTCCTCTAAACCTACTCCGAAGAAAGGTAAACCAGTTCACACCAGGCTGAATATTTCGTTTTCTTTTTTTTTAAAGATTTATTTTATTTATGCATACAAGAACTGGGTACAGGCCAGAGGTGTGTGGGGGTGAGAGAATTCACCAGAGACAGAGTGGGGAACAGAACAGGCAGACTGACTGAAATACACTGCTGAGGGGAGCAGCGGGCAAGTCAGGAGAGGTCTGCTGTGCCATGTGGGTCACCTCCCTGGCCGGGGATCGAACTCGTGTTGCAGTGGCTGCGGATATCTTCATAGTGCTGTATCTTAACCCCTTGTGCCACCAGAGAGCCCCAGGTTGAATACTTCTAATCAAGTTAAGTGTACTATCAAGTCTGAAGATTTTTTATTTTGTTTTTAAATCAAAGGAGGTTTTCAAATGATGGAATTTTAGCTGTCATAGATTAAGTTTTTTTGAGGGAGTGGGGTTTCCTTCTGAATTCCTGAAATTACAGAGTTGGCCTACTCTGGTATGAGACGGTGCGAGGAAAACACCTGCTTCTGAAAGGTCTCTTTCTCTATTTTAAAGAAGAAGGATTTTACCCGTGGGGACCTCCCTCGAGATATACCTTGGGTTGCACCAACAGAGGGTCTCACATGCCCCTCTGCCCCTGCCAGATGTGGACGAGTGTGTGGAGGGGACTGACAACTGCCACATCGATGCTATCTGCCAGACCACCCCGCGATCATACAAATGCATCTGCAAGTCTGGCTACACGGGGGATGGTAAACACTGCAAAGGTGAGGCTGGAGGGCACCTGGAGAAGGGGGACCTGCTGGGAGGGCAGCCAGTGCCCTGCCTTCAGTGGCCATACTGCACATTACACTTAAGGCTACATCCCCACTGGCATGGGAAGGGGGTGACACGGGAGGGGGGCTGTATCTTCTCAGAGAAGACACCATTTTCCAGTTTGCACAAATGCACCTTGTCGGCCAGCCTGGTGGGAACTGTTCAGCTGCAGAACCAGACGGGTAGGGGGTCTGGGAGGGGATCAGAGTCATGGGGATGAGGTACCCTAATGCCTCACACCTTTACCCCTGCCCATAAAGGATAAGAATGGTTTTCCTTAGGGAATTTCATACTGAAAATGAGCACATCTTCACCTCTTAAGCAATGGAAGTTAAGGCAGTCTCAAGATGTTATTTTAAATCTGTGACCTCCAGTGTTGGTAAGACTTCAGTTGGACAAGGTGTACTCATTGATTCCTGGTGATAACATAAATTGAAAAGTGATCTTGTCATTCCTAGCCAGACTCTTCAAAGGTATTTATACCCTTTGAGTCAGGAATATTAGGGGCTTATTTAAGGAACGCCAAGCAACACAATAATATATTGGTGAGTGTTCTTTGATGCATTATTTATGATAGTGAAATAAACGGAAGGACTCCAACAATAGAGAAAAGGATTAATAAATTATGATATAGCAGCACAATGGGATGTTCTAAAACCAAGTACAGCAATAATAAGAAAGACTAGAAATGAAAGTCTTTATAACTTAAGTTTATTTTTTCTTTATGACTTACATTTCGATGAAAATAGCAAGATGCAAAATGTTTTGTAGACCATGAAAACCATGTTCAAACACACACAGAGGTGCCGTATATATTTTTAAAAGCCACCACAAGGCTGAGCCCAGAGGTGGACCAGGGTAGGGGGTATGGGGGGCACACAGGTGGGTCCAGCAGCCTCACTTCCTCTTTGCCCACAGACGTGGATGAATGTGAACGAGAGGATAACGCAGGTTGCGTGCATGACTGCGTCAACATCCCGGCAATTACCGATGTACCTGCTATGATGGATTCCACCTGGCACATGACGGACACAACTGTCTGGGTGAGCAGTGGAGAGGGGGGTGGGAAGTGATATCTCGTCGGGAAGGAGGTGTTTTCAAGCAGTTCCCACTTCCAAGGAAGGTGCTCAAAAAGCTTCATTCCCACAAATAGAGAACAAAGTCAGCTTCCCCTCTGAGGCGGGGCACTGGTTGAAATAATCCCGCTGCATGAAAAACATCGGAGCAGATGCTGCTAGGAAGTGCTGCCAGGGCCGGCTGGGCGGCGACAGTCGTGGGTTTTGCACGAGGGGCAAAGCGCAGTGGCCGGTGACTTGGCTCCAGACAGATCCTGCTCTGCTGCTTAGTCTGTGGAGCCTTGGGAAATCAGCTCATCTTGGGCATCTCAGCTTCCTCACCTCTAAAATGGGGGTTCAGCCTGCCACTCAAAGGGCTGCTGGGAGGATTACCAGAAGTGTGTAGAGTCCTGCACCATCCTTAGCGCGTAGTAGACCCTCAATAAATGAGAGGGTGTTGTTGATGAAGACGGTGATGGTCCCCTGTGCCCCGGGGAGCTGCTGACACTTAAAGGTTGGTTTTCTTCCAGTTCTTCTGCAATCTCCAGGCTCATCATCTACTTACTTCTGAGTTCTCGTTCTGACCTGATCTCCTTTGGCTGGATCAGAGAGAGAATCTCTAAGGGATTAAACTCGACTTTGGTCTCTATCATTCTGGAAATTTGCTGGGATTAAGTCACATTATTCCCCAACTAAAAAAACTGAACCCTACAGTAGGAAATGTTATGAGATGTGAAACCAGGGGTCCTTTCCCAAACCTTTTTTCTCTGGTAAAATAAAAGACTAGAAGAATAAAAGACAAAGGAAGAGAAGCAAGAGACATGATACCCAGAAAAATAGGTTAGGCTGCTCTCCCACCCCCCACATGACCATATAGGGTTACCTAAGGTCCTACTGGCCTAGGGAACCTCCTAACTACACAGCTGCCTCAAAACCCAGTTGCTTTCTGTCTTTGGACCAGGCTATGGATTTTCTGCTCCCAACCTGGGCCTCTAACCCTGATCCCTGCTGGACCCTTCCCCCAGCCCCAGCCACCTCTCTTACCACAGTAGCCACTGGGGAAGGACCTCACTTCTTTTTTAACTTTTTTTTTTTTTAAGATTTATTTATTTTTTTATTATACAAGCACTGGGTACAGTCAGAAGTGTGGGGGGCGAGAGAATTCACCAGAGCCAGAGTGGGGAACAAAACAGGCAGACTGACGAAATACACTGCTGAGGGGAGCAGCAGGCACGGCAGAGAGGTCTGTGTGCATGTGGGATCCTTGCCGGTGACCAGGGACCGGCGCTGCAGAGGCCACAGGCAGCTTTGCAGCCCAGCGCTTAACCACTGCTCTACCGGGGAGGCTCAGGACTCACTTCTTGTCTACCCAGTTACCCATGAGGGTGAGGGTCTCTTTGGGTCTGCTTTGAAAGGAGAATCTGACTCTTGGACCTTCACCATGAGTTGCTTATAGAACAATGAACATCAGCTTCTGGGTTCTTCGATTGCCCTTGACTGCTCTAAGCCCCCAGTTCTCTCCAAGTCTAGTTTCCCTATAAGTGTTTAGGGAGAACCTGCCAGAGGGATAGAAAAAGTATATATGGAGTGTCCAGGGGGAGCAAAAGTCACTCTCACCTTCACCCTAGGGTTGGGGCTCAAAGTATCAGCCCTACCTTTGACTTTTAGGGGAACTCATAGGAAGTCATCTACACCCTGGGCCTCAGTCCTCTTCCACCCCACCCCAGAACTGGAGGAAAGAACTTGGCTAGAGGAACAGAGTGACAGAGCTGAGCTAGAAGTGGGCAGTAGAGAACGGAATGTAGGCGGGGGTAGAGTGGGAAGACAGAGATGGGAGTCAGGGATGCAATGAGGCGTGGGGCAAAGGACACGCCACGGTGAAGGAAAGTGTACCGCCTCACCCCGACAGGGGCATCTCTCAGGCAGGATCTGAGCTGCTCTGCCATTGGCCAGAAGGGAAGAGGTCAAGGTTTCAGGGAAGAGGGGACAGATGAAGCCCCCTGGAAACCAGACTCCAGCTGTTCCATTTGAGACCAATCTTTTGATTGTGTTGGAAAATTGCATACCGAAGGGCCATGGGCTCAGGATGGGAGGCAGTACAGAGACCAAGTGGAGGCACTGAAGTGGGAGCCCCAAGAAGAACTTGGCTCTGGGACCTGGGGGTGGTGATTTTGGGTGGTGATTGGGGTGTGGCCTGGCAGCTTTCCGCATCCCTCCCTGCCAAGCTACCAGACTTTGTTTTGTTAAACCAAAATAGGAGAAAGGCTGGGGAAGATGCAGCAAGCCCAGGCATGGAGGGAGGGGAGAGAGGATGGGGCCATGGTCTGTCCACAGAAATGGTCTCTGCGGGCAAGGACTTGAAGCTCATGGCCTTTCCCCACTCTGCCCTCCAACGACGTCAGCACCATGGCTATAGCTCCCCTGCAGGCGAAGCCACTGGCCAGGTCCTTGGAGCCCCTGGGCTCATCACAACCACAGGCCCTGGTTCCTGTCCCTGGCCAATCTCCATCTTGATCTCCATTGCTCTACCTCTTGCTCTGTCTTCTTTCTTCATTTCTGCCCTCAGACCCAATGTCAGTGGGTGAGGGAGAGGGAGGCCAGTCCCCCCAAGGTGGGCCAAGTTCAAATGTCCCCTCCCTGCTTGGTTAGCTCCCCAGCTCCACTGTTAGGGTGACCTCTTCATGAGCAGTGGGGTACTAGCTGGTGATGAGCCTGACTGAAGCTGGGTCTTGGATTGGGAAGGGCTGTTGGGTTCCTAAGACTGCTCTCAGCCCTGGGCCCTGAAGTCCCAGGTTACCCTGGACCCCGGCCTACACCCCACCGCCTCCCCCACCACCTGTCTGCACAGATGTGGATGAGTGTGCCGAGGGCAACGGTGGCTGCCAACAGAGCTGTGTCAACATGATGGGAAGCTATGAGTGCCACTGCCGGGAAGGCTTCTTCCTCAGCGACAACCAGCACACCTGCATCCAGCGGCCAGAAGGTCAGCCCCGCCCTGCGCTCCCAGACTTGTCCATCTGCTGCTCCAGAGCTTTCCCTCAGTACCCCAAGTTTTGCCATCCCTACCCAACTCCACTAGCGCCCCTTTTCTTGTCCCTCAGCCCCATCAATCCTGAGGGCTCAGTGGATATTTTGTGTTAAAGCAAAATCTGGTAGAATTCATTGGGATTGGGGTCAGAGTTGGATTGAGGCTACCCTGGGAGTCTTGTGATCAGCCCCAAGGACTCTGCCCACCCCCCCCCAACTAGACTGACCTCCCTGAAGGCAGGCACTAACCTATTCATCTTTGTATCCCCCACGCCTAATATACTGCCCTGCCTGTAGTGGGAGCTTAATAAATAATTGTTGAATGAAATTGTGTAATTATCCATACCAATTGTTCCCACTCACATTATAGATTTGATCATTATTTCTCTTTTCCCCAATTTGACTGTAAGCTCTTTGAGGAAAGAGATAATGTCTTATATTTTTCTGGGTGCATCCTGAAGCCACCCAGCACCTAGGGCACGAGGGGGACAGTCAGTCTACTCTGAGTTGCAGCCTCAGTGGAATTCTCCCAACTTCTCAGTCCCCACCCTCGCAGTTCCTCTCCTCTAGGTGCCCGAAGTATGCAGCATCCATTCCCTTTCTTCCCTTTTAGAAGGAATGAATTGCATGAACAAGAACCACGGCTGTGCGCACATTTGCCGGGAGACGCCCAAAGGGGGATTGCCTGCGAATGCCGCCCTGGCTTCGAGCTCACCAAGAACCAACGGGACTGTAAATGTGAGATAACTGCGATGGCAGTGGGGAGGAGGGGAGACAGAGAGCAGGGGTGTTGGGCCTCAGGAGCAAGAAGTGGCAGGAGAAGGGAGCCTGGGAGAGGCACTAGAAAAGTGGGCCAGTTGTAGGTTTTTGTTTTTGTTTTTTTTTTTTAATGCATACAAGAACTGGGTATAGGCCAGAGGTGAGGGAGTGAGAGATTCACCAGAGACAGAGTGGGGAACAGAACGGGCAGACGGACTAAATACACTGCTGAGGGGAGTAGCAGGTGATACAGGAAAGATCTGTGGCGCCATGTGGGTAGCTCCCTGGCTGGGGATCGAACTTGTGCTGCAGTGGCTGGCGCTAGCTGATAGTGTGGTCTTTAACCCTGCGCCACCAGGAGGCCAGGGCCAGTATTAGTGTTACAGAGAACTGTGGTGCTCCGGGCGAAGCCAGCTGACAAGCCTCCTGCCCTCTCTGCACAGTGACATGCACTACGGGAATGGCGGCTGCCAGCACACGTGTGACGACACAGAGCAGGGTCCCCGGTGCGGCTGCCATGTCAAGTTGTGCTCCATACCGACGGGAAGACGTGCATCGGTGGGTGAGGCCGGAGGAGAACCCAGTCCTCCTGGGAGGGTGTGTGGCAGGGGCCCTTGGGAAGCGGGGGGCAGGGAGCACGGGTTGTGGGGGCAGGTGATGGTGCAGATTGGCTGGTGAGCATGTTGACACCCTGACAGTGCCAGGTCTAGTAAGAGACAGCTCAGAGATGGACGGGCTCCCTGGCCCTCTTCCCCTCCTGTCTGTGGTTCCACTGCCCCACCCCTGCAGCCTCCCCAGCCTCTCTCCGGGATCCAGTGTTGCCAGCCTGGGGATAAGAAGCAGAGGTGCTTGTGGACCGAGGCTCTGGCTGAGGCAGGAGAGCTAGCACAGTGCAGCGGGTCTGCCCGGTTGACTAGTAGAGTGAGGGCTCTGTCACAGCCCACTGACCCGCCTCTGGCAAGAGGGTGGGACAGGGCGCTCTTTGGAAACAATCAACCCTGAGCTGACAAGTGGGGTTTCAACTCCAGGTATCTTTTTCTTTATCCTCTCTCTCCTTGCTCTTCTCCTGTAAATTCCCTTTGCACTGCCCTCGCCCTGGCCCCTCATTTCCTTCTCTGTCCCCCACCTTCCAGTGATACACCCTCTCAGCGCGGCCCTCCCACTTTCTCACCAACTCCAGCCTAGTTTGGGGCTTTCATAACACCTTTTCCTGAATTGCTAGGCCTTAACTCCAGTATCTTCCAGTACCATAGATACATTCAATCCTTAATTCATTTAATTCCTAATTCCCTCAGTCTTCAGGTCTTTAGAGGAGGAGAGTTACTGTGTCCTCACAGAGCGCTGAGTAAGATCGGGGCAAGGTGTCCCCTTGGAGAAGTAGGAAGTAAAAGAATTTGCTGGGGAAAGGCTATTTGTTGAGCCAGGTAAGCTCGTTCTGTGGCACAGATGTCTGCGGATGGCCAGCATCTCGTGGGACCGCAGCACGTGGGCACGGGAAGGGTGAACATGCTTCACTCCATACATATGTGCATCAAAGAGAGGACACTCAGCTTAAGAGCCTTCTCATGCAGAGCCTACTCTCTCTGCGGACAGTGCTGCCTTTCTCCCAGACCAAGAACAGGGGAGCAGATGAGGCTCTTAAAGTCTCCCTCGGGTACCTGCTCCAAGTCTTGCACCCACAGTTCTAAAGTTCCTTAAGGAAAATCTCTCCTGCTACATGTTTCCCTCTGAACTAACCCTTCCAAAACCCGGAAGATGTGTAGGTCTTCGTTGTTGCCTTCTGCAGCTGATTTATCCCAGCTCTTTTCATTTTTTCTTTATAAATTGAATCATTCTGCTTCCCCACCCTCTCACCACCCCGGACACACTCAGACAGCCCAGAATCTCCCTAAAGAAACTGGCATGCAGTCCCCAAGGGAAAGCTGCATGAACCAGGACAGAGCTTGGGTCTTGGATGTGAGGGCGGGCCCTCGGTTTCCTTACTTTCTGTTCAGATAGTCCCAGGCATGGCTGCTTTTGAAAATCCCTAGTAAGCTGAGCTCTTCTCTAATCCCGACCCATTCTACTACCTGGGCCAAGCGAAGCCGAGAACAAGCGAGGTCGTTCTAGAGTTCCCAGGCTATGTTCTTTCCCAGGTCCTCTCCTTCTGCAACAGAACTCATTTTATACTGCCCTACATTATTCTCCCCCCAGCCTGGTAGAAGGAACCTTCATTGTTTGGGTCACCGAGACACTTAGTGGGAGACTGAGAGGACAGTCTGGTTTAGCAGAAAGGTGAGGGGGTATTCCTGAGGTTTGGGACTCGGCAGCTCGTGAGACCTAAGGTTGCGTCCCAGCTCTGCCTCTGGCCTGCTGTGTGGTCCAGCCCAAGACTGCCCCTCTCTGAGACTTAGTTTCCCATCAGTCAACTTGGAGGGGTCTGGTCTGCTCTGGATTACCAGGCAGGACAAGGCTGGGGAGTGGAGCTGCGTGAGTCTCAGGACTCATCCTTCGGTTAGTGGTGTGTGGGCCTGCAGGGCGGTGGAAGGGGGGAGAGCTGGGGCGGCCACAGTGGCTCCTGCCCAGCATCTAAACAGCTTTTTCGCAATGTCAAACAGGGAAAGGCGGCTAGAGAGCAGCACATCCCCCCTCAGGCCGTTTCTAATGTAAATATGTCTGCTCTCTCGCTCGCTCTCACTGGCTGCTAGGGGAAGGGCTAACTCGCTGGGTTCCCACTAACTGCATGCCCACTTGGCCCAGCCTGCCAGCAGGGCCCCCTGGCAG